ATAACTTAGGGTTAGGGTTAGGGTTAGGGTTGGCTTAATGGTCTATGTTCCGGACCCCATCGACTCACAGTTTCTGTTTGTGTAATGACTAAAAACTGCTGGTGATGATGGACTGACAGTCAGGTCCAGACTCCCAAAAACAACAAATGTCAAAGACGAATGCTCGTTCATTTCCACTGTAGATGCGCTCTTCATCCCTCCATCGTTTGCCCCTGCACTCAGCAGGTTTTGGAGCAACAACCCGGGCTGGAACACACATTCTGAAGGCTGCCTCCTTCTCCAGCTGCACCCCTGTGCACACGCCAGTCTTCACAGTTCATGGTACAACTAAACCACAGCCAGGCTTAGCAGCCTTGCATAGGGATTTCCCAAACTAGTAGCTAACGCCCTGCATCCACACGGAGCTGCTGCGGCTGAGGCCCCCTTCTGCTGCAGCTAAGTGAGTCCTGAGTGAGACTGATGGGGGTCAAGACCCCGTCCACACTCACACTCATGCAGACATTCAGGATAGTATTAAGCATTTCAAATGTACTGGGACCCCCCCACCACCAAAGCCTCCACCCTGAGGTGGTGCAGCCTCAGGCCTGCAGCTGCGCCCCTTCATGCTGCTCCTGCTGTGCGCTCGTATGTTTGTGAACACGTGTGTGTTTGTGTATCTACCCTCAGCACGTGTGTGTGGAGCTCTACTGGCCCCACACAGGAGACACAAGGCCTGAAGGTCCTGTTGTGTTTTGGGAAGTCAGGTCTGTCCTCTGCAGCCCCACAGAGGCAGGGAGAGAGGACACAGCTCCTTCATGGACAGAGGGAGACCTGTTCCCAGCAGAAGACGTAGAGTTCAACTCTGCAGCTCAGTCCGGGGGCTGGAACCTCAGGACTGCTCCGCTCCCCCCTGAGAGCGGACTGCAGCCACTGACCACATGCAAAGCTCCATAAAGAGAAGGTCTCTGGGTTATCAGAGCCTGTGGCCCACCATATAACAGAAGACATGGATGGCGTCCAACCTCACATCATGCAAACACTAGTATGGAAAAACATCCTAAGTTCAGTAAACTGCTGGCAGCTCACTGCCACGATTCATTAATAACAGTCTCCAACTTTAAAGATTTTGGCCCTGGAATTCACTTTGGGGTTACTGCACAGACATTTCAAGGGACTGGACCACTGCAGGCTGTTTAAAAATGTAAATAAACATTTCTTGTTTTTCAGAGAACCAAAGGTAAATCTGACCCTGCCTCTCTGTGAATAGAGCAGCAGTTTCCAGAGCTCCTCGGTGCAGCTGCCTACAGACACACACAGGACAGGCAGACGCACTTAGTGATGCAATGATGTCTATTTATGTATGTACACCATTTATTTATTCAGTTGCTCTAACATTTAATCATTGTTGATATTTCAATTCAAGAAAGTCGACATCTGGACCTTACCTCACTGGGGAATGAATAAAGTATTTTTCTCCTCTATTCAAAAACATATACAGTGGAACTGTCCCTTACAAAATGACAACAAGAGTAATCTTTTTATATTTTCCTCCCTTTTCCCAGCATCATGGCAATCAGAATCATTCATATTTGTTTTTGCTTCCATTTGTTCTTCCAAGGGAGGTCTTCAGCCTGTGAGGCCTCCTCGATGCCCAGCCTGTGATGGCTTATTTATTGCTTTTAAGGTGTTAGGTGTAGTCTTATGCTCAACATGACAAGGGGGAGAAAGGGGAGGGAGAGAAAAAAAGAAAGAGAGAGGACACAAACAAAGTTACACTACCTGAAAACCAGGTAAAAACACCTGCGAAGGGACTCAGCGAATGGGGAAGGAACACAAACAGCAGGGCCGGAACAAACCCGGTGTGATGGGGATGGAGCCCCAGCACCAGCCGTCTTCTGTGGGTTTTTACCGGCAGGGAGGAGGCAGTCACACTGTTTTCCTGTTGACCTCCCAGTGGCCGGCCCCTGGCTCCAGCTAAACGGACGGAGACCAAAGACAGAGCGGGCAGTGATGGAGATCTAATAATGATTATTACTGCGCCAGTTTCATTTATCTGGAAATGCTAATGAAGTATTATTGAACTAAACTGACTGGCTCTCCAGTTATGATAACTCATGCCGTGTGTCATGGGCTGAGCTGTGTTCTGACACCCTGGCTTCATTTCATCTTTGGTTAATGAATGAGAATTCATCCTCACTGCTTCTTTATGCTAAAGTCCCCCGTTGTGTGGCCGTGCCGGTCTCCTCTGGAAGCACGTGGTGTTAGCTACTGCTGCAGGCCATACAGACACATTTACACACACTAACATGCAAATGCAGCCTCACACTTTTCTTTTCTAGGCTCGTAGACTCACAGATGGACGTCCACACACCTAAATCCCACTGTGGCATCATGATGAAGTGTCAGGTACTGCTGGCTAATTTCTTCCCCCATGTGTGTGCGGGAGGCATAGCGGGTAGCTATGAATACCAAATAGCCGACTAATGATAGCTGTTTTCTTAGTGAGAGTGCTGCCTTCCTCTACACTCACAAAGAAACACACAAAGAAACACACAAAGGATGCCAAACCGAGTTTAATCAGTGTATCGCCATCAACATTTACCCGATTCTTTGAGTCACTGTTTTGGGCACTTTTGTGTTGCTGTTTGGACTCTTTTTCTTGTCTAGTTTAAAATTTTTATGAATAAATTGGTGATCAAAATGTTTTTTTCCTAATTTGTATTTATTGATAGATAGATAGATAGATAGATAGATAGATAGATAGATAGATAGATAGATAGAT